ATTTTATGATGAATGAATAGATCATTGCCAATTCTTTATTTACCAGTTAAAATTTTAAAAACCCTGAACTCTTTATTTTGTGTGTTCAGATATTCACTAAAATATTTCCATTTTCAAATATGAAACTTCAAAAACCATACAAGAATATATTCACAAATTAAATTTAGACTCTACCTCTCACTGGCCCAACTCCCGCCCCTTGACCTCAAGGGGTCTGGTGTCCCTAGGATAGTGCATACTCTCCAGATGTGTCCCTGTAGGTGAGGTGCACATCAACACATTCACATTCACACACAGTCTTCTCCAAAAGCGCAATCACAGTCTTGTCATTATAAATTCTCAGGATTTAAAAATATTTGCATCTCATTTGTTCTTGTGGTTTCTGTATTTTTAAAATTTTATTTCTTCTTAAAAACAAAACAAAACAGGATACATGTGCAGAACATGCAGGTTTGTTACATTGGTATATGTGCGCCAGGGTGGTTTGCTGCACCTATTGACCCATCCTCTAAGTTCCCTCCCCTCACCCCTTACCCCCCACGCCCCACCCCTCACCACCTCCTGGTGAGTATTGTTCCCCTCTTTGTATCAATGTGTTCTCAGTGTTCAACTCCCACTTATGAGTGAGAACATGTGGTGTTTGGTTTTCTGTTCCTGTGTTAGTTTGCTGAGGATGATGGCTTCCAGCTTTATCCATGTCCCTGCAAAGGACATAATCTGATTCCTTTTTATGGCTGCAGGTTTTTATATTTGTAATGTTTATTGTTCATGTATGTACTTATTTGAATTTTCTGTTGAAATCATTGCCAACTGTTTTGTTACCAAGTATGTTTCACAAATCATGGGTACTAACCCAATATCTGAGATGTAGTTTACAAATGTTTTCTCCCTTGTTTTAATACAGTCTTTAGTGTTTCTTTTTCCCTTTGGAAAGTGTTTTGAATTTCACTAAAAACTATGCAGGTCATAATTTATAAAGACAAAAACATTAAAAAACACCTGCAGAGCAGATACTGCCAGCATTGAAGGAGATTACAGCACTCAGAGTTCTGGAGGCATCGAGACAAAATGAAAATAACAACCAAAATAAAACCTTAAGTAATTCCAAAGTTAGCTGCTGATCAGGAGATTAAAAAGTTGTCTTTCTGAATTACATAAACTCTCCTTAAACTTAGTTTCCTGATTTGAATAATTATCAGAATGACGGGTATCTTTTTTTTTTTTTTAAGACAGAGTTTTGTTCTTCTTGCCCAGGCTGGTGTGCAGTGGTACAATCTCGGCTCACCGCAACCTCTGCCTCCCAGATTCAAGGGATTCTCCAGGTTCAAGGGATTCTCCTGCCTCAGCCTCCTGAGTAGCTGGGATCAGACACGTGTGCCACCATGCCCAGCTAATTTTGTATTTTTAGTAGTGACAGGGTTTCACCATGTTGCCTAGGCTGGTCTCAAACTCCTGACCTCAGGTGATCCACCCGCCTTGGCCTCCCAAAGTGCTGGGATTACAAGTGTGAGCCACCATGCTTGGCCATGATGACGGGGATCTTAAATGGTTGTTAGGGTAAAAGCAGATGAAATATAGAGTGCATTTGCTTACAGTCGTTCAGTACATGTTACTTTCCTTCTCTCCAGCTCACCTGTCCCAAGGCCAACACCTGAGCTTCTGTCTGAGCCCACTCACTCCAAATCAAATTTAAACTGCACCTCTCACTGGCCCAACTCCCACTCCTTGACCCCAAGGGGTCTGTTGTCCCCAGGATAGTGCACGCTCAGACCTACAGGTTTTTGTAATTTTTAATGTTTATTGTTCATGTATATACTTATTTGAATTTTCTGTTGAAATCATTGCCAATTGTTTTGTTACCAAGTATGTTTCACAAATCATGGATGCTTATATCTGTGATGTAATGTACAACTGTTTCCTCCCTTGATTTAATACAGTCCTTAGTGGGGTTTTTACACACTAGGTCTACACCCACGTCTCTTGGCACAAAGCACAGGATTTCACCTCCTCTGTCTTCCTCATCACCCAGAGGGGTTGTAGAATAAGGACCTGTGGGGCCACAATAGCAGGCGAGTGGAATCTGACCATTTCTCAAGCCCCGGAAGCCCATCTGCTAAAAGGGAGGTGCTCAGAGTCCTCTAGGGAGGGTGAGAGATGGAACCTCATTCCAATCCTGCCACTTACCTGGGAAGGTAACTTAGGTTCTGAAAGCCTGAGCTTGGTCATCTGTGAAATGGGACTGACCATGCCACACTTACAGAGCTGTGTGAGGGGTTAATGAGAAAACCTTCCCAGAGAATATGACATGAGATGGGACTTTAATGGTCCTTTAAATGTTGGAGCACAGCAGCAGTGGTTGGCTGAGCCTCAGGGCTTAGGTAGTCATTACAAAAAATCATTTTTCATTGTTTCTCCAGATGGGAACACAGACATCCAGACAAAAGAAGCAAATCTCTCTGATATGCCTTCAGTTTAAAGTTTGAGAAACAGAATGTTCTCTACATTCTTTAGTGTTTCATAGTCTCATAAATACTCTTCAGCATCATGCCTATCAGCAGACCCAAATCCACTTCCCCATGGTGGTAAGACTGGCGTGTTTGTGAACTCACCTGGTGAGATCCACGACAGATTGCATCAGGGACACAAGGGGCATTGATTGTCTAATGAGTGTTCCAGCACTGCTTAGTATGTGTGTGTGCATATATACACACACACATATAGATATGAATATTCTGGACATATCCTGCAGTCACCTGTGCAGGGTCCTCAGATCATACATAATTCAGCCACATCACATCAAAATTTCAATGACCTGCTGCCTATCTGAGAGACAAAAATCCAGGAATTACTAGCATTTCTGTAACACACAATTGTTCATTCTGTTATTAGGTAATAACTAAATATGTATTGAGCTCAGAAAGCATACTAGTTCATTGGAGGTGTCTCATTAACTCTAAAGTGGAAACAAGAGAGCAAGAAGGGAAGTGAATATATGGGCAACTTCATAGGTTAAGTCTGAGATGAGATGGCTTCTTCACATTAACTTTTAAACTTGCTCAAATTTCAAGGAACTGAAGTTTTTAAAAAACCTCTTTGGATCCCTCATCACCAAAGTGATGAGAGAGAGAGAGACTGACTCTCTCTCTCTGTCTCTCTCTCTCTCTCTCTCTGCCCCCCTCTTTTTCTGTCTCTTCTTTCCCCTCTCTGTCCATCCCCCATTCCCCTCCTTCCCTCCTTCCCTTCCTCTTTCTCTCTCTTTTTCCCTTCAAAGTCAAGAAAAAGAGTTTTCTGCATTTCCTGTTGACATTCTTCACTTCCCACTGACTCCTTATCCCACTGCACTATGGTTTCTGTCCCCAGAATTATGATGTAGATGCTCTCCAAGGTCGCACTCCACCTGTTTTTCATCATGACCAGTTTTTTGTATAAATGTATTAACATATGAAATATTCCTGTCACTCAGGCTGGAGTGCAGTGGTGCAATCTCAGCTCACTGCAACCTCCATATCCAGGGTTCAAGAGATTCTCCTGCCTCAGCCTCCTGAGTAGCTGGGATTACAGGCGCTTGCCACCATACCTGGTTAATTTTTGTATTTTTAATAGAGATGGGGTTTCACCATGTTGGTCAGGCTGGTCTTGAACTCCTGACCTCGTGATCCTCCCACCTTGGCCTCCCAAAGTGCTAAGATTACAGGTTTGAGCCACTGTGCCAGCTGAAATATTCCTTTTAATGAGCTCCTAAAATATCCATGTTTGCACAGTTGCATCTTTCTCCTAACAACAGAGATTTCACAATTTCTTAGACTCCGGAGCAAGATGTACTGGACATAAATCCAACTTGTCGCACTCCCTAACTGTGTGGTCTCAGGCAAAGTACTGGACATAAATCCAAGTTGTCACACTCCCTAACTGTGTGGTCTCAGGCAAAGTACTTATTATTTCTGTCCCTCAATTTTTCATCTATGAAATGGAGATTAGCCACAGTATCTACCTTGTGCGGGAACTACGAGCACCAAATGACTCAATACCTAAAAATCACAACCTATTTTAGCCATTTTTATTTCATTTTCTCCATCTTTATTGGCCATTAGTATCTCTACTATCCCTACAGTGCAGCTTGATATTTACTCACATCAATGACTTTTGATGTATGTTGTTTATGAGACAAGCAGGTTACAAAAGAGTAAATAAGATGCAATTAAGTAAGTAGGATGAAACTTTGTTTTTCACAAATAAATATATAAATGCATGCAGTTCTGCTTAAATATATAAATACCTGAATAAAGAAACTTAGAAAAGAATTTATACAGATAAACACATTAGTAGGGCTTGTCTTTGAGTGCTCTGTTTCGGAGTAGTGCTATTTATTTCCTCTTCTATGCTATCTATTTTTAACTATAATAAACAGCTATTGCTTTTGCAATTATATAAAAATAATAAAATGGCAGTGAAACTTAAGCATTGTCAGCCCAAAGCACAGGAAAGACACTGATATTTAGAATGAAGAATGTTCCTGAGACTCAGAAAGGGGGAAAATATATTGTGGGAACCTCATCTACATTATAACAGGTATATTTTCCCCAAATTCCAACTCATGCTGATAATTATCAATACTTTACTTTTTTCCTAGTTAATTGGGAAAAATCAAGGTACTATCATGTAGTTGTATTTCATTCCCCTAAAAGATACATTGAGGTACTAACCCCAGATACCTGTGAATGTGACCTTATTTTAAAAATAGAGTCTTTGCAGATGTGATCAAGATGAGATTATTACAGAGGACTCTAATCCAATATGACTTGTGGTCCTATAAGATAATGAAAATGCCATTAAAGACAGACACACAGGGAGAGCAACATGTGGTGACAGAGGAAGAGATTGGAGTGATTTCTCTGCAAGGAAGCAACATCAAGGATCTATGGCCATCACCAGAGACTCTATGGAACAGGAAAGGAAAGATTCTTGCCTTAAACCAAAAAGGAGCAAAGCCACTCTGACACCTGGATTTCAGACTGATATTCCTTGAGTTTGATGTTTTGTAGACAGATTATTGACATTCTTGGGTGTTTCAAATGTGTTGCATCCAGAACTGTGAGAGACTGAATTTCTGTTGTGTTAAGCCAGAAGTTTGTGGTACTTTATACAGTAGCCATAGGAAACTAATACAGAGCCTTAGTTTTGGTTAGATTTTGGTTTTTTTGTTTTTGTTTTTGTTTTTTTGCTGCACCCTGCTCAACAGTAAGGCTGGAGGTCTAACAAGTAGGAGTAGCACATGCTGGTTAAATTTACTCAGGAGCCACACAGCCTGCGTTCAAATCTCAGCCTCACAACCTGCTTGCTAACCCTGCCCTTGTATGTACCCCAGTTCTCTTATGTTTAAAGTTGGCAGCAACCACTCCTCTTCATAGATGGTGGTGAGGATTAAAGTATACATTTAGAATTATAGCAGTGTCAGGAACTGAGAAATATCACAATAAATATTAACCATTTCTATCATTATTTTATATACAAATTGACCAGTACTGTTTCTATTGCCATTTTTATGATAATGTGGATTTTAATTTATTAGCATGGGTTGAACTTCTATATATATTTGTCATAAAAAAGCAGTTTACAAAGCTAAAAGTAGGATACTATTTTATTTCTGTTCATAAGTATATAGTTATAGTTGCATAATATAATTCCTGAAAAAAATTTAAATGTTGACAGTGCTTATCCATGCATAATAAAATTTTAAGGATTTTTTTTTAAATTGTACTTGAGGTTCTGTGGTACATTTGCAGATAATGCAGGATTGTTGCATAATTTTAAGAAAATTTTTAAAGATTTTATTCCCTTCAGGTCTTTTCCATTTTTATCTACAAGAAAAGTGTCTTGGTTTTGGAAGTGAAAAAAAAATAAAAACAAAATACTCCTGCCATTTTCATAGGAAAGTTACTCAATGTTAGGAATGATAACATGTATTAACCAAGACAATTAGGTACTAGGGTGGTCCTAGAATTAAAGTATGAATCTATCAACATGACAGCCCCAGTTGGGCCGCTTTAGGGAAATTACAGACACCCAGGGGAAGGGCAAGCATGTCTCTCAGATGAATCTTACATTCAACAGTCAGATGACATTTCTACTTTTCAAGATTTTAGTGAAGGTCATGAGATGAAAGTGGTTTCACAACATGCTTCTTTCTGTACTCACACAAATAAAGTCCCTTGAATTGATAGCAGGCACCTCTGTTTACCCATCTAGTTGGCCAAACAGTGACTGCCACAGGGGAAGGAAAGGGGAGGGACTGCATGAACCCACTAGGGCTCAGTACCACAGCTTCCAGAGGAGAGAATCCTAACAGCGCAGGATTCAGGGTAAAACTAGAGTCACAGTCTCACTAGGCTCAGGGCCCCAGGAGTAATCAACACACATATGAAGTACCTTGCTTATACAAATATAAAAATATATTTTATATTTTTATAAAAATATTAAATGGAAAGGAAAATATACACATGCCTATCACCTGTAATACCAAATCAGTTCAAGTTCTAAATGGGATGCATACCTAAACTAACCCAGGGATTTGGACAGTAGATTGGACACCTAAAAACCAACTCCTGGCAATCACTGACTTTTTTCATCAAGATTACCCAGATTAGTTCCAGATTTACAGGCATAGATGACTAATAGTGTGAATAAACGTTGGGAAATTGTGCCTGGACAATGGGAATATATTTCATGTTCAAGATACACTGCAAATCCCAGCTAATTGGGAGGCTGAAGTGAGAGGATCACTTGAGCCCAGGAGTTCTAGGCTGTAGTGTGCTGTGATTGTGCCCGTTAACAGCCAGTGCACTCCAGCCTGAGCAACGTAAAGAGACTAAGGAGACCCTGTCTCTAAAAAAACAAAACAAAACAACCCACAGAGATACGCTATAACATTGTTTTGGGGTGACTGGCACCTGGGAAATTCTTAAGACTTTGAACACATGTTTTAAAAACATCACTGAAAATGATACGCACCAATTCTGTTGGTGCTCGCTATAGCATGTAAACTAGAAAAGTGGGTGTGTCTGGTTTAGTAGCTCTGAAAGACAGTACACATGTAGAGAGGCATATATGGCAGGTCACAGTGTTGAGATATGAATTAGTATTTGTTCTTCTCATCTTTCTTCTTTTCTCCTGTTATATAGCCAGACAACTACAGATAAAACATCTGATAAAATAACACCATATTTCATGCAGAAATATATACATATGTAACGAAGGATAAATAATGAAAAGTCTAAATGCTTGTTAACGATTACTCCTTTGTAAGAAGGAGGCTAATGCAAGCAGAAGAAACTTTGAATTTCTTTCTTTTTTTTAGACAGGGTCTTACTCTGTCACGCAGGGTGGAGTGCAGTGGTACAATCATGGCTCAGCGCAGACTTGACCTCCCTGGCTCAGGTCATCCTCCCACCTCAGCCTCCCAAGTAGCTGGGACTACAGTTCTCTGCCACCATTCTCAACTAATTTTTGTATTTTTTTTTGTAGAGATGGAGTTTCACGATGTTGCCCAGGCTGGTCTCAAACTCCTGGTCTCAAGTGATCAGCCCATCTCGACCTCTCAGAGTGCAAGGATTACAGGTGTGAGTCACTGCGCCCCACCCAGACTTTGAGTGAATTTCAATTGTACATGTAATGTTTTATTTCTCAATATGAGTATATACAAGTATATTCTTTTTGTAAGCTTTTTAATGTCTAAAATATTTCAGAAAAAGAAAACTTTCTTTAGTTCTGATTATAAAAATGATCTGTATGAATTTAGAAGTTGTGGAAAATATAGTTATGTCCAGAAATAAATATATAATTAATCAGTAATTCTACTACTCATTAACTTAAAAAAGAGTATTATGTTTGTATGTTACCCCCACTTATACTCTGTATGCATGCATCATAATGTACATTCATTGCATGTGAGTCTAATATATTGAGACATTCAAGATTTGCAACCAAACTCTGACTCTCAAGTCATCATCCCTAACGATTGGGGTACACAATCTTTTTCTAAATAAGGGCTGTGTTCAGCTCAGGGGAAGTATCTTCTACACAAGGACAGATCTGGCATTCAGTCCTCAAGTCTCCGGATTTCAGTCTGTTGTACACAATAGTAATCTTTATGCTCTTTTATTCTGTACTGTCTCCTTTCTGGGGTTTGAACAAAGGTTCCTATTCCAGTGTCAAAATGGAAGTAAAAAGGAAGAAAAGAACACATCAAATAAAAAGTAACAAAGTGATTATTTGATTCCAAACTTCCACCATTCTCACATATCTCACCCACAAAGAAATGTCACCAAAGTTCTGTGTCATATAAGTATGCATGTTTCCTTTCCTAATGTTTCAAATTTAGATGACCTCTGTGAGATGTTCATGTTTAAGTCTTTTGTGGAAGGGAAAACAGAGGGAAGACAAAATGTATATTTATTGAAATATTATGTATCAGATGGTTTCTATAGTTTTGCTCATTTCTCCTTATAACAGTTTTATGAGGTAAATATCAATATGCTAATTTTATTGATGAGCAAGGTGAGGTTCACTAAGGGTAACTCACTACCACAGCATCATACAATAGAAAAGAGTGAGTATTCTTCCCTCATCCCAACTTCATCACATTGCATAGCACAGAGATGGCACTAAGTTTCCTATGTAATATAGATGAGTGTGTGTGGTTCCCTTCTTACATTCCCAAATACTCACTAAAATATAGTGATGCTATCCAGATTATGAAAAAACATCCCTGTTAAAGATCATAAGAGTTAAGATGGGAAGGAAGCAAACACTGGCACTGTGAATGACACACCAAATACTGTGCTGGCATCTTGACAAAGATCTCCCCTTGAACAGGCCATAATACTCACTTGAGTGTAAGGATCAGGTGTATGTGTGTTTGTGGTGAAACATGCAAAACAATACTATGTGTTTGTTATTTATGGAAGCTCTCGTATGGAATAAAAGGATAAAGCAACAAATGGGAATGATGAGCATTGCCTTCTGGATGCTGATTATCTATAGCAGAGAAGGAAGGGGATGCAATTAGGGAAAAGTAAAGTTTTTTCCTAAGCTGGACTAATTTCATAGCTCTCTCTATTTTTTAACTGAAACATTTCACAAGTCACAGAGGTTTTAGGGGATATAGTTTTTTAAATCATAAATACAGACATTCCCCAACTTTTGATTTTTTGACTTACAATTTTTCAGTTTTACGACAGTGTGAAAGTGGTACACATTCAATAGAAACTATACTTCAAGTTTTAGATTTTGGTCTTTTCTCCAGCTAGCAGTATGCAGTATTATACTCTCTTGTGATTCTGTTAGGGAGCAGCAATGAGCCACAGCTCCCAGTCAGCCATGTAATCACAAGGATAAACAACTGATACTCTACAGTGTACAGTGTTGCCAGCATTTTTTGGATATTGTTTTGTGTTTTCACATCCCATCTTGTCTACAAATGTCCATTTTTGACCTACAATTGTTTTCAACTTACAATGAGCTTATTAGGATGTAACTCCCATAGTAAGTTGAGTATGGAGTATTGAGTATGTAGTATGTATAATCCATATTCTCACCTTAGCAAATGTTTAATATTGAGCCAAATGCAGAGGTTAAAAATATCAATAGCCAGCAATGCCCATCATAATTAAAATTAACATGGTACTAGATCTTTCCAATGATTTTTTATACATGGATATATGCACATGTACTGTACATGCATTACAAATGCAATTCATAAAGCTCTTATAATCCAACGTACAGTATAGTATTCTGAGTTTTTTGTTGTTATTTTCAGTTTTCTTTTACCTTAAGTATTTACATGTGGATGAAACATTCTGAGTACATGACAAGGTATAAGATATAATCTAACTTTGCTTTTTAATGAACCCTTTATAGCTAGCCAGACCTAATTCCTGAACAATATGTTTGACTGGAAATGCCATACTTGTAGCATCTTAAATGATGTTATATGCCTGGGTCTACTCAAAAGCTTTCTTTAGACTTCTTTAATCTGCATGTCAACCACTCTGTCCAAAATTTATGGAATTATACGCTCAGAGAACATTGTAATACCTGGCAAAGTAATCCCCACTTTTTTCTTTCAGTCTTTGTATGCATGGTAGGAATAATAATAAAAGACATAAATAGTTACAGGGCACACAGTAGATAAGTTGGTTGATATAGATCATGCAAGCAGCAAGTAATGATTACCAGGGTCAACTCCAAGTCCTTCTCACCCAAAAGCCCCCTCCTCACCCAAAAGCCCCCTCCTCTAACCACTGTTTCTATATTGAGTGTTCTTCTGTGTTAGACCAGAGGCCAACAGAGGGAAGGAACTTACCCCAAAAACCAGTCTGTTGATGGGTCAAGTAACTGGGGTATAAATCTGATGACTCCCATCTTCTGTCCAGCTGATACATTATTATTCTTTGTTCTTCTGTACTATTTCTTCTTCCCAAGGCTCAATCAGAAACTCCTTTACCCATATCACACTAGAAAGAAAATAAGAGAGCAGTACATGGAATCAAAGGAACGATCAAATAAGACCAACATTCATTTATTGTTACCGTATTTCTAGATGTTCTCTGTTTCAAACCTTCTACTTCATAAGGCACAAGTATTTTTCTCTTGGAACCAATAATATCTTTTAAAAGAGTGCTTCCCAAAGATACAATTCAAAAAGACAAAAAGGCAGAAGCACAGGGTCATTTTTGGTAGAACAAATTGTAACAGCAGAAGACCCAAAATGTGACAGATGTCCACCAATAAAGGATTGATTGAATAATCTAAGGTACATCTACATCCTAGATTTCAATGCCAGTATAACAAGCAAGGAAGACTCCCTCTCTCTACTGCTATGTAGTGATCTCCAGGATATTCTGTTAAGTGAATAAATCAAAGTGCAGAAAAATGCGCAGAGCTGCTGTTATCCCATACCATAGCCACTGGCCACTCATGGCTATTTAAGTTAACTAAATTTAAATGCAATTTTAAATTCACTTCCTCAGTCACACCACATATTAGGTGTTCAAAGTCGCAGGTGGCTAGTGGCTACTATGCAGGACAGTTTAGACATAGAATATTTTCACCTTTGTAGAAATTCTATTTGTTTCCACCAATGTGGAGTATGTCACCTTATATGTATGGAAAACTAATAGAAACATTCTATTTGCTTTTATTTTAAAATTGGAAAGTTTTAACGAAAATTGATTTTTTAAAATTGTTACCTATAATGAGAAGGAGAAACAACTCAGGATGGAAGCCAATGATGTCTTTTCTCTTAAAAATATAATACATATATACTGGCTCCATGCACTGGAAAGGTGAAGAAACATGGTAGACCCAGTAGCAATGAGCAACTCTAGTGCCCATACTGAATCCACTTAAAACATATCACACTGAAATGAACTAGGTTACCTTGGAGAAATGGCTGAGTCTAGGTCTGTGTAACCATTCTACTAGATGAATGTGGACCAAACTATCATACCAGAGAGTACATCAAAAGACAGAAGCCAAGCTTAAGGGGCTCTCGCTGGACACAGATGAGGCAATTTGAACACTAAATAAAATAATGACTACTATGGATTAAAACACAGTAAATATAAAAACTTCTAGAACTCATGATAACATTCTAAAAGAAAAGTAAAGCAAACAAAATCAACTCATTGCTTACCTTTAGAGAACCCTAGGGAAACTTACTATTTTTAAAAGTGGAAATACTGCAAAAGAGTTAGGCATTCATTCAGCCCTTCCTATACATACTACCCCTCAGTGTAATCTAATACTTTATGAAAGGAAGTTTCTTTAATAGAGTAATTCCAGCTAATAAAGCAGAGAAAATTATAGAATTATAATATCATCCTTTTATGACCTTTAATGAATACAGATCTAAGCAACAATCCTTAGAGGCTGCAGAAAAATCGAGGTGAAAAAGGGATGGGAAATTTTATAATGGATAGATAAGCTCAACAATATTTGAACATAGTAATTAATCTTAACATCACAAGAGGAGAAACAATTAGACATAATGAGCCTCCTGCGTAACACTATAGGAATAAACAACACCACATATGAATTACTTCTGACCAAAAAAAAAAAAAAATGTTTTTTTTTTTTTTACAGTCCAGAGGTCTTTTATTTTTTTAACACCTATTATACCATGAATTCATAGGGAATAGGTTCCAGCAGCTCAGGCTCCTTCCCACTGGTTCTTGCAAAGTGTGCTTCTCTGGGTATAGCAGGCTGGCGCTTCAGTTGGACCCAGGTACCTTTCTCTTTGGCTTCTTTCTTTTTCTGATCATTTTCCTTCACATGTTTTAGGAAGCTATCTTGGGTCTTAGAGTGCTTGATGTGCTCAATACACACATTAATTCTCTTGGCAAGAATCTTACCCTTAACTTGTTTGTTTACAACAATGCCAACAGCATGCTGGGTAACATTGTAGACTCTTCCAGTTTTGTCATGATAACATTTGTGGGGCATTCCTTTTTGAACAGTACCCATTCCCTTGATGTCTACAATATCACCTTTCTTATAGATTCGCATATACGTGGCCAAAGGAACAACTCCATGTTTTCTAAAAGGCCTAGAGAACATGTATCGAGTGCCTCTCCTCTCTCCCTTTGTGTTTGTCATTTTGGCGAATTACTGGAAGATGGTGGTCCCGGCCGAAAGGCAAAAAAAGAAAACAAAAAATCTTAATTGAATCAAGCCTCTGAATCTAACACCAATTTTAAAACAAAAGGAAGAAACACAAGAACATAATAAACAACAATTTAAGAATATAACCAATAAAATCCACAATGCAAAATGCACAGGACAAAATATCCATTCTTGTAAGCAAATAAATTGGAAAGTGTGATGGTTAATTTCATATATCAACTTGACTGGGCCACAGAGTACCCAGACATTTGGTAAACACTGTTCTGGGTGTGTGTGTGAGGGTGTTTCTAGATAAGATGAACACTGAATGAGTAGACCGAATAGAGCTGACTGCCCTCTCTAATGCAATTGGGCCTCATCTACTCAACTGAAGTTTTGAATAGAACAAAAAGGCTAAATAAGCATGACTTGCTACACCTGATTTCCTGAGCTAGCATATCAGTCTTTTCCTGCTTTTTGGGACTCAAACTAAAAATTCACCTCTCTTGGGGTCTAGAGACTGCCAGCTTTTGGAATAGAACTTAGATCATCAGCTCTCCTGGTACTCAAGTCTTCAGATTTGGACTTGTACCACCCATCAGATCTCCTGGGTTTCTGGCTTGCCAACTGCAGATCTTCAGATTTTTCGGACTCCATAGTCACATGAGCCAACTCCTTATAACAAATCAATCTCAATCTCTCCCTCTCAATCTGTGAGATATATATATATAATGCTTTATGAATATATATGTATAACATATATTTATATATTACATTTATCCTGTTTTATATATAAATAGGATATATATATATGTATGTGTGTGTGTGTGAGTGTGTGTGTGTATATATATATATATATTTTTTTTTTCTATTGGTTCTGTTTTTCTGGAGAACCCTGACTAATACAGAAGGAAAATCTTTAAATTAAAAGAAACTTAACACTTCCAAGAACTTATAATTAAACTACAGTGAGATGCTACCACAAGACCACCAGAACAACAAAATGAAAAACGGAAAATACCAAGTATTCACGAGGATATAGAGCAAGTAACACTCTCACAAGCTGCTGATGGGACTATAGAATGGAACAGCCACTTTTATCAACTGCCTGTTGGTATCCATTGAGCTGAACATACACATACCTTATAACTCAGAAGTGCCATAGCACATTGGTACATACTCAAGAGAAATGAAAATATACATCCATCCAAAAGAATGAACATGAACATTCATAATACCGTTATTCATAAGAAGTCAAAAACTGGAAAATACACAAATCTCTATAACAGATAAATGTAGTGTGAAATATCCAAATAATACAATAGTTTACACCAATGAGAATAACCAATCTACTATATAGACCATAATAAATATTAATTTCACATACATTATGTTGATTGAAAGAAGCGAGATACAAAAGGGCACATGCCGTATGATTCTAAGAATTTTATTCTAACCTCCCAATAGAGTTTGGGGCAGGAGAGGAATATCAACAATTCATTTTCTTTTATTTTAAAGTACTTAGTGTCTTTTTATGTTATCTGTAGCTTAACCTCAGATAAGTGAAGCAAATTTTTTCTGAGCCCTTGTAAAGTGATTAACTACATGTAAGACGAAAAGCTAACACTATATCTGATGGACAGGCAATGGGTTGTGAAAGATTCAGGCAAGAATCCTAAATGGATGTTCATTCTGCACTAAATCCCACAGCAGTCACTGAGTCACCATGGTAACCATTCTGGCCAAGGAAAGCTGACAAAAAACGAACACCACTACCCCGAGCTTGTTCCTAATATGTACTAGGAACTAAATAGGATTGACATGATGCACAGTAATTAATCTCAAATAGTCCTGACAATAAATATTCCTGACAGCTTCAGTGACATACAAATGTATACATACTAACATACATACATGCTTGCTCACCCTCTCACCGCCCCAAATCCCAGGAATTTATTGAGGTAGATTTACTGGTGGGTAAAGAAGTAAAACTAGCTGGGCATGGTGACTCATGCCTATAATACCAGCTACTCAGAAGGCTGAGGTAGGATTGCTTGAGGTCAGGAGTGTGAGACCAGTCTGAACAACATAGCAAAACTCTGTCTCTGAAAAATGTTTTTAAGTTTAGCTGAGCATGTGGCACACACCTGTAGTCTGTTATTCAAGAGGCTGAGGTGGGAAGATTACTTGAACTCGGGAGTTCAAGGCTGCAGTGAGCTATGACTGCCCCGTTGCACTCCAGCCTGAGCCACACATGACAACAAAATCATTTCTGACCACACATATAAAGTTGAAAGCTACTAAACTATGTTCTTGTGGTGTGATTTCTAAAGATGACCTGTAGAATTGTCTCTGCAACATTTTCCTCCATAGTTTCAACATATGGCCAATGACTTCTAAAAGCAGATATGGAAATACAGGTAAACACAGGTTAAGGATCAAATATCCTTTCCATCGTAGAGTAGGCTGTGCTTTCAACCAAAAAGATCCCTCACTAATATTGTTAAACATTTGGTTGCTGATAGTACCATGAAAATATAATAATTAGCAATTGTGTTTAACAAATAAAGCCATATATAGCATCATCGAAAGTATAAAATATTTATGAATATTCTGTCCACAGATGTGCAATACCTTACATTGAACACCACACAACATTGCTGAGAGAATTAAAGAAGACCTAAATAAGCAGAGGACATACCATGCTCATGGCTCACAGACAATACTGAGATGATTCAGTATTGTTAAGATGTCAAGTATTCCAAAACTGATTTATAGATTTAGAACAATTCAAATAGAAATCCTCAAAAATTTTTAAAGAAACTAACAGGCTGATTCTAACATTCATATGGAAATGTAAAAGACCTAGACTATTGTATTAGTCTGTTCTCAGATTGCTACAAACAAAAACCTGAAACTGGCTAATTTATTTATTTGTTTTTTAAAAAGGGGGTTTCATGGCTCACAGTTTTGCAGGCTGTGCAGGAACCATAGTGGCATCTGCTTCTGGAGAGGTCTCAGGGAGCTTTTACTCATGGCGAAAGGCAAAGCAGGAGCAGGGGTCTTACATGACAGTAGCAGGCAGGGGGAGGTGCTACACATTTTTAAACAACCAGATCTTATGAGCACTCTATCATGAGAACAGCACCAAAGGGGAAAATCCGCCCCCAAGATCCAATCACCTCCCACCAGGCCTTGTCTCCAACATTAAGGATTACAATTTGACATGAGATTTGGGTGGGGACACAGTTCCAAACCATATCAACTATGAAACACAACTTTGACAAAGAATAAAGTTAGAAGACAAACACTACCTGATTTCAAGACTCCTTACAAACATACAGTAATCCAGACAGTATGCTACTGGCATCAAGATGGATTAGTAGATCAAAGGAACAGAATAAAGAGTCCAGATATAGACCCACAAGTATATGGACAACTAGGTTTTGACAAAGATGCAATGGTGATTCAGTGGAGAAAGAATTGTCATTTCAACAAATGATGTTGGGACAAGTGAATACTGACATGCACAAATGTAAACTGTGACTCAGCTATCACACTATATACAAAAGTCTATTCAAAATGGATTTGAGATCTAAATATAAAATTTGAAGCTATTAAACTTCTAGCAGAAAAAAAAAAAAAACAGGAGAAAATCTTTGTGACAATGGGTCAGGTGAAGATTTCATTCATGAAACACCAAAACCACAATCTATAAGCAAAGAAATTGAAAAATTGGACTTCCTCAAAGTTAAAAACTTTAGTTTTCCAACTACATGGTTGAAAAAATGACAAGTAAGCCACAGACTGGGTTAAAATGTTTGAAAATCATATCTAATAAAGGACTTGTATCCAGAATTAACAATCTTAATCAGTAAGAAGAAAACAGATACACCAGTAAAGAAACAGGTAAAAGGTATGAATAGACATTCCACTAAAGAAGACATACAAATATCATAAAAGCACATGAAATGATGCTCAACATAATTAGTTGTAAGGGAAATGTAAATGAAAACTACAATGACATACTACTAAACTCTTGTGAGAATGACAAAAATTAAAAAGACTGATTACACTAAGCTCTGTCAAGGTTGTGGAGGATGAAACTCTGAAACATTACTGGTGGTAATGAAAAATGGTACAAACTTGGAAATAGCAGTTTCTTACAATGTTAATCTTACATCTACCATATGATCCAGCCATTGCACTCCTAAGTATTTATTAGATAAAGAAAGCCTATTTCCATGGAAAGACTTATTCACAAATATTCATAGCAGCTTTGTTTACAAGAGCTCTTAATTGGAAACAATTCAAATACCCAACAACAGGTGAATGGAAAAAAAATTATGATACAGCCATATACTGGAATACTATTCAACAATACAAAGAATGAACTATTAATATGTGCAACAAAATAGATACATCTAAAAATAAATTGGGCGAATGAAAGAAGCCAAACCAAAAATCAAAAACAAACACACAAAAACATTTCTATTATTCCATTTAAATAAATGTCTAGGATATAAAACTTGATCTATAGTGACAAAGTATTGTGTTTGTCTGGACACAGGGCAATAGGAGGGATAGAGAGTACTAGTAGTACAGAACTGAAAATCTTATGTAGTGGGAAACAATGACAATAATATTTTAGGCCTAGTTGGTTATCTTATGGGACATGGCTGGTTATCATTATAATAAAGCAAATTATGTGGAAATTATTTTTCAAAATATTGAAGTTTTGTATCTGACATTTTGACAGTTTTAACTAATACTTTGTATATTTCTGCCTTCTTAAAAAAATCATTATAGAATGGATAAATACATGATTACCATTGAAAAATGCATATTACAATCTCCAGTTGCTTGGAAGACCTTCTGATCAACTGTGTATTTCAATGCCCATCTGAGAGATACATGGGAATCACTGATTATACTGGCAGAAAACATGTAAATTTATTGAAAATACATGTTAAACACCAAGTTGCTTCCCCAAATGAACTATTCATTGCTTTGTGACAATGAAAGGTATTTTTAACATGGGCCTCAAGGGCCACTACAAAACACATAGCTGCTGATGAAAGGAAATTCCACCTGCTAAACCTCTTCTCCAAAGATGGGATCAAAGGACTTTCTCTACTGTTAGACTATTTTATAAACCTCAAAGAGCTACTCCACAACATGTTTTTGTTAGGATCTATTAACTCACTTGTGCCAGGCATCATATCCCACCAGGGATGGAAGTCTTGGGAGTCTCCTTAGGACTGCTGCCCTTCAAATCTGATGTAGAAGTTTCAGCAGCCATCAAGACCCAGATTCTCAAAGCCCATCTTCTTCAGACACCTGATATGAGCTCAATCACCTGATGAAGAGCTTCACAGGGACAGAGAGAATCCAGCAATCACTGTGCTTTCTTAGAGTAACACTGTGCCAGGAATCATGCTAGGCACTGTGTAGTGACCAGTGACACTGATACAATTGTGTAGTGATCATTACAACCAGAAGATACAATGGGTTTCTCATCGGGGCCTTTTTCTTCTCCTTTCCTCATCTATCTCCTAACAACAAATCTGTAAAGGACTAAGAAGAGGCTTGAATTCACACACGTATTCCTGATTGTGCAATAAACACAGGGCTATGGGCTTGCACCTGCGTTATCACTGCAGGTTGCAGCAATCTTGTGGGTGAGCATAATTATCCCATTTTACAGAGGGGAACACTGGGCTCAGAGAGTCCTTACCTGTCTCATCCTCCCATGTCTCACCTTTACATAGAAAGTAGCTCCAGGACACCCAGAGCAGGACACCACACTCACTGGAGCCAGGAGGGTCCCAGCTCTCTCCCTCATAAAACAGTGAGAGCAACTTATTTCAAAGTGGCAGTGAGAAGACTTAGATCTGGGATCCCTTCATCTCCCTACAGCCCAGGACAGTTCAGCCCCCACTGTGGGGCACCCACACCCTCAACGGAGTCCCAAACACCAGAAGATGGGACCCTGCTATTCTCACCAGCCCACATGGGTCTCTATTAAAAAGTCATCAAGGTCACAGTAATGACTTCTGGTTTCTATGGCAACCATGATGCTCAGGCTTGTCCTCCACATCAGAAATGCTTCTGCACAGCCCTCTGTCCCCGTGCCTTCCTCCAAATTAAAAAAAAACACCTTTACTCTTCAGGCCACCTCCTGAGAAAGCTTACTAATTAGAGGAACTAGCCTCAGACAAGGGTAATTTGTGGAACTCTGCCCAGCTTGGTGAAACAAAGCATAATCCCATTGGCAGGAATACTGCCTGCTTTAAAAGTGACAGTAGTTGAGTACCATCACGACACAGAGATGCAAGGAGATATCCTAGGGCTCCTGGTGATGAGCTAACTCTCTGAGGATGATGTGTAAACCTTACACAACACACTAAGCAGTTAGCTATCTGTGGCAGAAAACTAAGAGATTGTCTATGTGTCTAAATGATGTAGGAACACCAAGAGATGTCATTTAAGATATCTCAGTTATTTCAGGGAGGCAGGCCTATAATAATGCAATCATTTAGTGGGCAGAGATCTAGTCAATTGAAACATACATTGGCTCATTTTGGGGAATTCTTATCTACCAGTCTTAATATTTTGTTCCATGTGGAGAGACATCGATACCCAAAACACTCCTGACCTCTGGATACACTCACTCCTTCTCCATCACAGGAATGCCTCATCTAGTTGGTGAGTTTGGATGGAGAAATAGGTTGCACAGCCCAGGTTCTTTCCCTTCAAAACTCTTGGTTATTATCTTCACTTAACCAAGCATATGTTCTTCTCTGCCCTCAGGGGTGGGTCTTACAATAGGTCCACAGCTTTACTCTCCTGTGTCTCCTTGGCTCCCCAACTATTCCTATAGTCTTAACAATGCTTAGATATTTAAGGGGCCCCCCAAATACCCTCCAGCTCCAAATCTGAGATGTATACTAACTGAGAAATATGACGAAAGACTAAGAACAATAAATTGACTTTATAAAAGTGATACTGGAGAATGTGACATAGATTTGCTGACGCATGGGTTTTCTGTGAACAAACCCCAGAATTGGACAGACTTATCCAGTGCTACATTGGGACCATCACAAAAAACCAAGGCCTGCATTGCGTATCTATCTGCTTTCTGCTGAAGGAGCCCTGTCTATGTATGTCCAAGGAAAGTGACTTCCTTGTTGAGGGCTATCCCTGTAGCAGGAGAAAGTCTTTCAGGACACCTTCTTAGAGAAACACTTCTCAAAGTGAATAAACACACCTGTACTCCTTGCATACTCACCAAGCAACCTGCAGAAGATACAGGTTTCCATATGGCTCAGGAAGCAGTTTATATCAACAGTCTCTCAATTTCTTAACGTAAGTGATTGCACTGGAGGCTTATCCTATAGAGAGAGATTGGAATTATGTTCTAAATTCCAAGAGTGGATTGAAAAGCATATTTTATGAAAACCTCCCTTGAAAATTCCATCAAGAAGGAATTAACAGGATATTCTGAAACATATACCCACACATAAACTAACACATAGACTAAAGTCAAAATTATAACAAAGCCTCCCCAAGCCTTCATGATCTGTGATCTGAGAATAGAGCACAAAAAATGAAGAAAAGGTCACCAAAACCATAAAGTTTTAGATAACCACTTGTACTTTACAAAATGTTCCCAAACAATAGCAATTTATTATCTCTCAGGATTCTATGAATTGACTGAGGTTTGTTGGGTGCTTTCTGTTCTATGTGGTGTCTGTCACCTGGGGCTGCAGTCATCAGTATGCTACACTTGCCTGGGACATCCAAGAGAGCTCACTCACATGGATGACGAATGGTGCTAGCATCTGCTGGGAGCTCAGTGGGGCTGTTGCATGAAGCATCTTGGTTCAACACGAGTCCTCTGTGAGTAGAGCTGTCAGATAAAATAGAAAACACTCAGACAAATTTGATTTTCATATAAACAATGAATAATTTTTTAGTGTAAATGTGACGGTGACTTTATGCTTCAACTTGGATGGGCCACATTGTTCAAGTATCTCAGCATTGTTCTGCATGTTCCTGCAAGGGTGTTTTCGGATGAGATCAGCATTTAAATTGGTGGACTTTGAGAAAAGCAGATTGCCCTCTATAATGTGGGTAGGCCTCATCCAATCTGATGAAGGCCCGAATAGAGTGAAAATCTTACCTCTTTTAAGCAAGAAAAAATTCTACTAACAGACAGCCTTCATACCTGAACTGCAACATTGGATATTTTCTAGTCTCCTGTCTGCCAGCTCGCTCTGCAGATTTTGGACTTTCAGCCTCCCTAGTCATGTGAGCCAATTCTTGAAAATTAATCTCTCTCTCTCACCATATACACATGTGCGTGTATATGTGTACACACATCATATTGGTTCTCTTTCTCTGGATGTGACATGCAATTTTTTATTTTAATTCAGCTGCGCATTCTGTATTTTTATTTGCTAAATCTGGAAACCTTAGGAGAAGAACCTCTCAATATGTAAGTTTAATGACCACCTGAGATGACCTTCCCAATAAGTCAGGGCGGGTCTGGGGACAATGAGCAGATCATATTGAAAAAAAAAAAATGGCAAGAGCTGGTAATACCTAGCGTTGCTTAAATAAAGGAGAAACAGATTTTCATATACACTTGGTGCCACATCGAAGTATCCATTTTCTGAGACCCATATTATTACAGCTGAATGACTTAAATGGCCTTTGTACAGAAGTCCTATTTCAACCAACAAGGGAGTTTCACTTGAGGGTTTAGAAAAGGCTCATCAAGGTGACTCTGATGTGCATCCTGATTAAGGGGCCCTGGTCGCTGGGGCAGGTCAAAGTGACATACAAATTCCCTGCTCCAGCGGGGAAAGATAGCTTATGGAGCAGAATGTTTATGGATCCCAGCTCTATTTATGGAGCAGAGTGTTTACAGGAGCCCAGCTCCAGGTTGTTTACGTTACTGTCTGGATTTTATCTCATGACAGCCCTGCTAGTGAGGTACCAGTATCCTCTCTTCTTCACAGATGTCTGTGACTACAAAGCACGTGTTCCTAACCACAGAGCTGGATGGCAAAGAGGTTTCTCAGCAGGCCTACTGCCAGAACTTGCCAGCCAAGGCACCTTGAGTTGCTGGTGGCAGATCTTTAGCACAGGACATACATTGTTAAGGAGGTTAGTATCTGTTCTCCTTGTGTTTACCCTCTGTATTAGCCCATTTTCACACTGCTGTGAAGAACTTCCCTGAGACTAGGTAATTTATAGAGGAAAGAGGTTTAATTAACTCACAGTTACACATGGCTGGGTGGGTGCAGAGGATGGGGGAGCACTCAGGAAACTTACAATCATGGAGACAGGTGAAGGAGAAGCAAGTACCTTCTTCACAAGGCGGCAGGAAAAGAGAGAGCATGAAGGGGAAACTGCCAAACACTTATAAAAGCATCAGATTTCAAGAGAACTCACTGTCATGAGAACAGCATGGGGGAAACCACCCCCATGATCCAATCACCTCCCATCACGTTTCTCCCTCAACACCTGGGGATTACAATTCAAGATGAGATTTGGGTGGGGACACAAAGCCAAACCATATCAGCCTCCCTGAATTTCCAACAAAAAAACAGGTTTGGGCCTCTTTCCCCCATCTCAGGGAAAGTTTGTAGCAGGGTTGGAAGCAGAAGCTGTCTGAAGCCAGTGTTTGCTTCATCCTGTATGAAAACTTAAACTTAAGGAAAGGATTGGACTGCTTGTACTTGGCAGGGAGGGGAAGGGTTCTGAGGACACAGAGAGGGGAGAAAAAGAGCAGTTTCTCCCAGACAGGAATGAGGTCAGAGGTCTACAGTTCCCTCTGGGAGTAGGAACCTGAGCATTGCTCCATGTCAGTGTTTGGAGAAGCTCTGTATATGGTTCATCAAGGTTGGACATTCAGCCATGAGACAGATTCTCTTGTTTGGTTGGAAGGATGGATAACTCAGGGTTGGGAACAGGGGTGGGGCTGAAGGTAGCAAACCAGCTAGGGAAATGGTCAGCTCAGCCCTCAGCAGTGGGGACACATGAGTAATAATGACAGGGACCTCCCAGGCTATATGTGGAGGATGCGTTTTCACAAGTGATTATTCTTTGTCAAAGAGCATGACTATTGTTTATACTGTCTAGTTGAAAGTTAAAATCTGTTTACTAACGAATATCCCAACCAACTACAAGATGAGAGCACCTGTTTCTCTAGATTTGTGCAATAATGGGCTTCCCAACTTTATTAATATTTGCTACTTTTTTATACTGTCACTATAATGTCAAAATACTTTTATTTTTCTCCATCGATAGCCATATAAATGGCATATTTCACATGTGTATTTCTAAACACAAACATAACAGTCCCACTTTATGCCTCAGAATATGTCCTTGAATAGTCCTAGAGTTTGATAAGAAAACCTGATAAGTGAGTTTGTGTTTATGCTGTGTCCTATTTAAATTGAAATTGTGGAGTCATAAAAATCCCATACACTGCTTCAGGAGGACAAAATGGTACACGGTATCTGCAGAGACACTGGGAAATGTTTATGAGAGAAGCAAGCACGGCCCCATCAGCTGCTGCTCTCTCAAATCTGCACTGCAGAGAGTCTCTGGCACATGTGCAAGAATGGTCATGGCAGCGTGGCTAAAATATCAAAACAGCCCCAAAGTCACCTTATTAGAGACATCTCAGAAACAACATTTTTAGGAGAAAACATTTCAATAAGTGTTTGCTACGATTTGGATGTTTGACTCCTCCAAACATCATGCTGAAATCTGATCCCCAGTGTTGGAGATGGGACCTAACAGGAGGTGTTTGGGTCATGGGGGTGGATCCTTCATGAACGTCTTGGTGCCATCCTTGCTGTGATGAGTAAGTCCTTGCTCTATTAGTTCCCATAAAAGCTGGTTGTTGAAAAGAGCCTAGCACCTGCCATATCGTCCTCCTCTCCCGCCATGTGGTCTCTGCACAAGCCAGCTCCCCTTGGCCTTCCATCATGAGTGGAAGTTTCCTGAGGCCCTCATCAGAAGCAGATGCCCAATCTTGAACTTTCCAACCATCAAAATTGTTAGCCACATAAATTTGTTTTCTTTATAAGTTATGCAGCCTCAGATAGTCCTTTATAACGATATTAAATGAACTAAGATAGTAGTATCAAAATATATGGTTTATTCCATTTACTCATCAGGACAGCAGTGTAAAGAAAGTATGGTGAGTCCCATCACACAGATTACCAAGATTTGGCTCACAGAGACTAAGATCCTCTCCAGATAAGTGGTAGAATGGCAATGAGGTTCTATCTCTTGCCCTCCACCCCCAACAATGGAACTAGCAGCTTCCCATTTGGAAGATAATTTTACGCTTCCCCAGTATTGTGCCCTAAGGGTACTCACTCAATAGCCCTTCACATTGAGGAAGAGGACAGTGGAGATGAAATCCTGCCCTTTGGGCCATGAGGCATAGCTGTGGGGTCATATGGATTACCAGGTTTCTAAGGTTAGCTGTGGGGTAAAATAAAGAAACGTGGAAAAAGAAAGAACAGGGAAAGAACAGAAAACAGCAGGTCCTCCAGGGATCACCTCTACCTCTCTCTGTCTTTGCTCCCTTCCCCACCCCATTTGTCCCCTGCTCTTTGTGACAGTGTGGGATGTAACAGGAATCCAAGGTACCCTGAGAGAGGATAGAAAGATGGGAAGACCCAGACCATGAGAAGGGTGGATCAGGCAGCACAAGTCCTGGAGCCTGTGCCCTGGTGTTGGCTCACCCACCAGGCGCTCCATCTCTACCTGCTTCTGTGTGCCTCACCATCACTCTAGCACACAGCAATGAAGCTCCCACATAACAGAAATATGCACTCTCCAAGGGAGGCTAGCAGGGGAAGTGACTTACCCTGAGTCAAGAATGTTCCAGATTTTTTGGTTTGGGTTTGGCACTAGGATGCAGAGAGAGCTCCAGTCTCTCTTGCTCCAGTGTCCTGCCCAGCAGACGTAGTATGAGGTTTTCATCAAGCCCCTCAGGAGTGCAAAGGAAACACACTTCTCTCATATACAACAAGGTGGGGGAAATGGGGGTAGGAAAACTATGAAACAGGAAGAAATGGGATGAGTGAAGACTTCATCCCTGTACCCCAAACTTAATTAATGGGGTCCATGACTCAGTTGGATGGAGATGGTAAAACCACCTTCTTCCCTTCCCCAAGGCCCATCAGGGTACTCATTCCACCACATAGAAATGGCACTGACTCACAGTGAAATTAGAAATGTGTGTTTTCCTTCTTCTCTCTATATGCTCTCTAGGTACATGGAAAATAGTTACTGTACACTGGAGAAACTTGACAAACACCATCCTTAACCAAATGATGAAGGTTAACATCACCAGTGACTTCATGCAGGCATCATATACTCCCAGATATGATGTGACAAGAAGGGTACCCGAACTAGTGGTATTCTTTCTCAAAATCTGTAACCGCAGTCAAGTCACAAAAGAAACAATACACTGAGCTTGTACTCCTCAAGATTGTCAGGGTTATGAAAGTCAGCTGGCAGTTCCTCAGATGCCAACAGACAGTTACCATATGACCCAGAAATCCCACTCCTAGGTATATACCCAAGAAAAATGAAAACCTGTGTCTACACAAAAACTCATACATAAATGTATATAACATCATCATTCATAACAGGCAAAAAGCAGAAATCATCTAAATAACCACCAATAGAGACATGGATAAACAAAATGTGGTATATCTTTAGAATAGAATATTATTCAGCCTTAAAAAATGAATGGATTTTGCTACATGCTACAATATGCATGAACCCTAAAAACATCATGCTAAATGAAAGAAGCCAGACACAAAAGACCAAATACTGCATGATTCCATTTACATGAACTGTTCAGGATAGACAAATCCACAGAGACACAAAGCATAACTGTGGTTCCAAGAGCTGAGGATAGGTGCAGGTTTAACTGCATTGAAGCACAATGGGAGTTTTGGGGACAAATGAAATTTCTAAAACTCAATTATGGTGATGGTTGTACAACTCTATACATTTAACGAAAATCACCAGTCTTAAAATGAATGGATTCTATTGTCTATAAATAATATTGTAAGAAATTTGTTTAAAAAATGTTGGCCAAGTCTGGCCGGGCGCGGTGGCTCATGCCTGTAATCCCAGCACTTCGGGAGTCCAAAGTGGGCGGATCATGAAGTCAGGAGTTCAAGACCAGCCTGACCAACATGGTGAAACCCCTTCTTTACTAAAAATACAAAAAATTAGTTGGGCACGGTGGCACATTCCTGGAGTCCCAGCTACTCAGGAGGCTGAGACAAGAGAATTGCTTGAACCTGGAACCCAGGAGGCTGAGGTTTCTATGAGCCAAGATAACACCACTGCACTCCAGCCTGGGCGACAGAGCAAGACTCCATCTCAAAAAAAAAAAAAAAAGAATGTTGGCCAAGTCTTCTATTGTACCACAGGAATGACCAAAAGTTTTTATACAAAGGCTTTGGTGTACATGTTTTATATAAACACGAATGTACATAAAGCTGAAGCTGTATCCCAGCCCTGACTCTATGTCCTGTGTTCCTCCCATGACCTTTCCCCCACCCCAATACTACCTGAAGTCTAAATCACATCTGATCATTTTCATGTCTTCCAAATGTTGTGATGGCTTGAGATTGGGACCACAACAGGGTCCCGGGCCTTCCCTCTATGAGAGGATGCCAGCATTATTACTTTCCTTACCCCTCTCCAAACTTTTTCAGGCTGCTCTACTTTAGGGAGCCTAAACGGCACCGACTCTCTGGATGTCAGCATCTAAGCACCAGCAATTTCCTTTTTAGATGTTTAACTTCAGGATGTAGTGAAGGATGTTGATAAGGGTCTGGTTATAAGGACTGCCATCCTAACAATACCCTCTCTTTATTGCTAGGCCTGAATTTAGAAAGGGAGAACTAAACAGGATGCAAAGCCATGAAGAGGCAGAAGGAAGCAGAGGAAAGTGTGGTTGTCAGCATGCACACACTTGCACACATTCACACACACTCACACACTCATGCACTAATCAGGGTTCTATTATCACAATACTAGAATTTTTCTAAGACAGTTTGCTGGGTTCCAAGAGGACACATTCAGTTCAGCAGCACAAACAGCCATAGGAACTGTGCCCTGTAGCAGAGCACAGACTTTGAAAAGTTGCCAATGTAGATAAAAGGAAATATCAGAACACTCTGAATAACACAGGGTTGAGTAAACTGATTATGTCACATCCATAGGATGGAATTCTAGGAGGCAGTAAAAATAAGTTATAATGAAAACAATAAGGGATAATTTCTTGCCTAACCAATTAGCAATAATCAACATTATTTCCAGTGTGTGAGCAGACACGTACATACCATATTGGTAGGAATATATATGAGTAATAATGTTATCAATGTATTGTGTTAATATAAAATTTTATTGATTTCATAATGAAAGAGTATTTTGAGAATCTTATAAAGAAACTCTTACAAATATATTTGCATATATGTGAGCAAGGATGTTATGTTTGCTACTGTTTATAATAAAACATGGTAAAGTAACTACATTTTTATCTCAAAATGAAATAAATGTAGTACTATCCATATGATGAAACATCCAGTTGATGGAAAAAATAAAAACTAAAAATATGTTGTAAAGTAATTTAAAATGTTGTGATAGAAGTGTATTTTCATGGAAAAATGGTCATAATAAAGTCAAAAGCAGGTTACAAAGATCATCCGTAGCCAGGATCCATTTTTGCTCATATCCATCTACAGCTATTTTTCCAGAGGACTCAAAGCATACAAACAAAAATCTTTTTCTTGATCCCACATAAAGCCTTCTCCTCAGCATTGTGAGAGGCTGCGCTCTGTTTGGAGGCCATCAATATTCCTTTAGCCTGGAATTGCTCGATTTTCCATCCAGACTTCCAGAAAACTCCATAGAGTGAGCTTGGGCCAAACTGCTCCTTCCCACCTTCCTGCTCTGATGTAAAAGCTGCAGTTCAGGCTTCTGTCACGAGGGGGCATCAACCTACCTTCATCGTTAAACCTCTACAAAGACGTTTACGCCATGAGCAAAAAAATAAGAATAAAACACCCTCCACTAAAACCAGCCCATGAACCTATGGACAGAATGATTCTAATTCTTCCAGAAAAAAAATTGATAGGTGTAAAAGAACACTACAAAAGCATATACTCCATGGCATGTATACGATGAAACATCGTTTATCACGAGCGTGCCTTGGCAGTCCTTAGCAGGCTGGTGTCGTGCAAACCGGGGCAGCAGAAGGTGACTGGGAGAGGATGGGGCACGGGAATGGGGTCTGGGCGGCTGTGTCCATACCGTCCCGGGGAGGGGACGCCTGAGAGGAGGTCTAGGAAGCCTGTACAGGGGCGGGGTAATGGAGAATGAACACCCTGCACTCTGGGAGGGACCCCTTTACAGTATGGACACCTCAGCCTGCACTAACAAAGGAAGAAATAAATCAATGAATAAGATGTGGATTTAGAGTCAACAGCAAATGGACCTGCTTTAATATACATGCAAATTTTCCAAAGAAAACTTACAGTAAACGAACCATTCCAAGACATTTGCTACTCTTTGAAAAAATGTACTCTTTTTCATTAGAAAAAGGAAAAGAATAATGGAGTTAGACATCACTTCAGGCCAGAGTCAGGACTGCAGCTCTCAGTTTCAGACTAGGAGGATCATCAACTGGGAGGGACAGATGGAGGTTGGGAGCTTGGCTGAAAACTTCAGTATCAGCCAAAGTTTTCTGGAATTATTCACCTAATGGTAGCAATCTCTTTTATCTTTCATTTTTCCTGTATATCTAAAAGCAAGATTAGTTCTAGACCACCAACTTCTAAATTGAAGGTAAAACTGTACCTGTGTGTGTGTATTTGGAGTAATTTAGCTAGAGGAGACACAGACACAGACACAAAAACACACATAGGTAGAAACACAGTCAATTCAATTTTTATCTACTTTGTTTTACCATAAAATTGAATACATTGAATGTTTTCACAAATTAGTGAATATATGTATACAATTCTTTTGTCAATCTCTTCATAAGGATTTTTTGTGTTCAAATTTTTATCAAAATACTCTTCTCAATATAAAGTTTCAAAAAATATGCAAAAGTATACTCAAAAATAGGAATTTTAACCCTCATCTCTCACAAACCTGACTCCTGCCCCCTGACCCCAAAGAGTCTGCTGTCCCTAGGATGGCACATACTCTCCAGATGTGTCCCTGTGAGATGCACATAAACACGTCCCCCCCACCACCACACACACACATTGCCTTCTCCAAAAGTGCAATCACAGTCCTCATCTTGACATTTCCACTTATTATAATTTCTCAGGATTTTTAAATATTTGCATCTTATTAGTTCTTGTGGGTTTTGCATATTTAATATGTTTATTATCCATGTATATACTTATTTGAATTTTCTGTTGAAATCATTGCCAATTGTTTTATTAATGAGTATGTTTCACAAATCACAGATACCAACCCAACATCTGAGATGTAGTTTGAAAATGTTTTCTCCCTTGTTGTTACTGGGTTGTTTTTCTCTTGGAAAATGTTTTAAATTGCCATAATGGGACTTAATTATTATACATGTCACAATTTAAAAAGAAAAAACATTGCAAAACACCTGGGGAGCACGTACTGTCAGCCTGGAGGGAGATTAGAGCATTCAGAAACCTGGAGGCATCAAGAGAAAATGACAAAACTTTAGAGTATTCCAGAGTTAGCTGCTGGTCAGAAGATAAAGTTCTCCTCTGTTCACAAAAACTCCCATAAAGGTAGCACCCTGATCTGAATAATGATCATAATAATGGGTACCTTGGATAGAAGTTAAGATTAAAGGAGGCCAGGTGAGGTGGTTCATGCCTGTAATCCCACTGCTTTGGGATACCGCGGAGGGGGAGGATCTCTTGAGGCCAGGAATTCAAGACAAGCCTGGGCAACATAGCAGGACCTTGTCTCTACCAAAAAAAAAAAGAAAAAAAATTAAAAGAGATAAAATATAAAGTGCATTGGCTTACAGTAGTTCAGTGCATGTTACTTTCCTTCCCTCTAGCTCTCCTGTCTCAAGGGCAACGTCTGAGCTTCTGCCTGAGCCCACTCACCACCTCAGCCAACTCGGTGTGACCCTACACCCAGGTCTCTTAGTACAAAGGACAAGATTTCATCTCCTCTGTCTTCTTCATCACCCAGAAGGGTTGTGGAATGGGGGACCCGTGGGGCCACAATGGCAGGGGAGTGAAATCTGGCCATTTTTCAAGCCCTGGAAGCCCATCTTCTAGAAGGGAAGCTGCCCAGGATCCTCTAGGGAGGGTAAAGGATGGAACCTCATTCCAATCCTGCCACTTACCTGGGGTGGTGACTTAGATTCTGTGAGCCTGAGTTAGTCATCTGTGAAATGGGACTGACCATATCATCCTTACAGAGCTGTCCTGAGGGGTTAATGAGAAAACCTGTGGAGAATATATAGCATGGAGTAAGACTTCAAGGGCCCTTTAAATGCTGAGACACAGAAGTGGGGGCTGGCTGAGCCTCTGGGCTAAGGCAGGCATTGTGAAAAGTCATTTTTCATTGTTTCTCTCCTAATGAGAATGCAGACATCCATATAAGGAAAGCAAATCTCTCTTCTGATATGCCTTGAGTTCAAAGTTTTAGAGACAGAATGTTCTCTACATTCTTGGATGTTTTCTAATCTCATAAAAGCTGTTCAACATCATGCCTCTGAGCAGACCCAAATCCACTTCCCCATACTGGGAAGAAAAAAGAATGATAGGGGCAAAAAACAAAACTGTGAATACATATGCTCCAGGATATCCATGCCATGAAATGGTAACTCTAGTGCATCTTGGCAGTCACTAGTCATCATTGGTCAGTGCAGGGCAGGCAGGAGGTGGCTGACAGTGGATGGGTCACTGATGTAGGACCTGGGCAGCTGTGTTCATAGTGTCCAGGAGAGGGACTGACTTAAAGGTGGGGGAGAAGGTCTGGGAAGCCTGTAATAGAGGTGCAGTAATGGAGAGTAAATGCCCTGCCCTCTGGGAGGGACCTATCCACCTTATGCACACCTCAACCTATACTGACAAGGGAAGAGATAAATCAATGAATATGATATAAATTTGGGGTCAACAGCAAATGGACCTGCTTTAATATACATGTGAATTTTCCAAATAGAACTGGTGTCATAGTAAACAAATCACTTCATAACATTTGTTACTCTTAGCAAAATGTACTCCTTTTCATTAATAAAACAACAAAAGACATGGAGATAGCTGTGATGCCTCCTGGTAGCCAAAGACAGGATCGCAGATTTGAGAGTCAGACCAGAGGCTCAGCACGGGAGGGAGCGGGATTGAGATTGGAGGTTAGCTTCACTATATCAGCCAGAGGTGTTTTTTTTGAATTATCGACCTAATGATAGCAGTCTCCTTGTGTTCATCATGTTCTAGAATATATAAAACTCAGATTGTTTATAACTCCCGTCTGAATTAAAGATAATGCTATATCTGTGAGTGTGTATTTGGGATGATAGAGCTAGAGGACACACACCCCACACACACACACACACACAATTAGATTTTTTATTTCTTTCACCGTATAACACAATGAATTTTTTTTCAAATTAATGAAAATATGTGCATATTATCTTTGACAATCAGTTCAAAAGTATCTTGTGTGTTCAAATTTTCATCAAAATATTTTTATTCCTAAATACCGAATTTCAAACAATATATGAATACATTCATAAATTGAAATTAATCAGTACTCTCACTGGTCCAACTCCCACCCCTTGACTCCAAGTGGTCAGCTGTCCCTAGGATGGTGCATACTCTCCAGTGTCCCTGTGAAGTGACACGTTCACCCCCAACACACTGTCTGTTCCAAATGTGCAATCACAGTCCCCATCTTTTGCATCTTGTTGTTTCCACTTATTGTAAATTCTAAGGATTTTAAAATATTTGCATCTCATTAGTTCTTGTGATTTCAGTGTTTTTTAATATTTATTGTTCACGTATATACTTATTTGAATTATCTGTTGAAATTTTTGCCAATTATTTTGTTACTGACTATGTTTCATATATCACAGATACCAAACCACTATCTGAGATGAAGTTTGGAAATGTTTTCTCCCTTGTTTTAATACAATTGTTACTGGGTTTTAATTTTTCATTTGGAAAGCATTTTAAATTTCCATAATAAGACTTAAAAATTATACATGTCATAATTTAAAAAGGAAAAACTTTGGAAAATACCTGGGGAGCATGTACTGTCAGCCTGGAGGGAGATTAGAGCATTCAGAGACCTGCAGGCATCAAGAGAAAATGATAAAACTTTAGAGTATTCCAGAGTTACCTGCTGGTCAGGAGATAGTTTTCTCCTTGATTCACAAAAACTCCCCTAAAGGCAGTACCCTCATCTGAATAATGGGTACCTTGGATAGCAATTAAGATTAAAGGCCAGGTGAGGTGGTACGTGCCTGTAATCCCAGCACTTTGGAAGGCTGATGTGGGAGGATCACTTGAGGTCAGGAATTCAAGACAAGCCTGAGCAACATAGTGAGACACTGTCTCTACCCAAACAGACAAAAACAAGATTAGAGATGAAATATAGAGTGCATTTGCTTTCAGTAGTTCAGTACATGTTACTTTCCCTCTCTCCAGCTCACCTGCCCCAAGGCCAACACCTGAGCTTCTGCTTGAGCCCACTCACCACTTCAGGGATCATCTAACTCATGTGGCCCAATGACCAGCTGTCTCAGCACAAGGGGCAGAATATCATCTCTGTCTTCTTCATCAACCAGAGGGGCTGTGGAGTGAGGGTGTGTGGGTCCATAATAGCAGGGCAATGGAATCTGACCATTTTGCAAGCCCTAGAAGTACATCTTCTAAAAGGGAGGCTGCTCAGAGTCCTCTAGGGAGGGTGAGAGATGGAACCTCATTCCAATCCTGCCTCTTTAGGTGATTTAGACTCTGTGAGTCTGAGCCTGATTACCTGTGAAATGGAACTGACCATAACATCCTTACAGAGCTGTCCTGAGGGGTTAATGAGAGTATATAGCATGGAGTGAGACTTCAGTGGCCCTTTAAATGCTGAGACACAGAAGTAGGGGCTGGCTGAGCCTCAAGGCTAAGGAAGGCATTGTGAAAAGTTATTTTTCATTGTTTCTCTCCTAATGAAAACACAAGACATCCATAAAAGGAAGGCAAATCTCACTCTGATATGCCTTGAGTTCAAAGTTTTAGAAACAGAATGTTCTCTACATTCTTCGGTGCTTCATAATCTCATAAAAGCTGGTCAACATCAGGCCTTTCAGCAAACCTAGTTCCCAATGCTGGGAACATGGGCATGTTTTTGAACTCACCTGGTAAGTTCAGATATAAATCACACCAGAGAAGCAAGGTGTGGTATTTGCCTAAGGGCCGCTCCTGACTGCTCAGTATATTAATACATTTGTAGAAAAAAATGTGGCCCCATCCACAGTCAGTATAGGGGTCCTCACATCATGCGTTATCCCACCACAGCACACCAGAATTTCGGCCACCTGCTGCCTCCCTGACAGGCAAAAGTCCAAGAATTATGAGCATTTCTTTCACACAATTTTCCCACTTTTAATCGCTAATAAGTAAATCTGCGTTGCGCTCAAAACCCATGGTATTCCAATGGTGGTGTCTCATTAACTAACTCCATAGCAGAAATGAGATGGTAGTAGGGAAATGAATATATGGGCAACTTCAAGGTTGCATCTGAGATTAGAGAGCTCCTTTACATTAACTTTTGAACATACTTAAGTTTAAAGGAATTGAAGCCTTTAAAATATCCCTGCTTAACCCCTTATTACCCATTCAGCAATAAGATATTTAATTCATTCTCTCTCTCTGTGTGTCTCTGCCTAACCCCCTTCAAATTTAAAGTACTAAAACAGTTCTCTACAGTCTCTGTTAACATTGTTTACTGTATTGACTCCTTATCCCCCTACCATGGTGGCTTCTGTCCCTTGATTGCAATGAACATGCTCTCCAAGATCACAAACCACCTTTTGTCACTAGGTCCAGTGTTCGTATAAATGTGTAACTATATTAAAATACTTAGTATTACTTTTAATGACCTCCTAAAATATGCTCACTTGTGCAGACTGCTTTCACTTAACAAATTTGCGACAGCTTCCAGGCTCTGGAGCAACATGTACTGGACACAAATCCAAGCTGACCCACTCCCTAACTGTGCAGTCTTGAACAAAGTCATTTTCTCTGTCCCTCAGTTTTTCATCTATAAAACAGAGATTGCTACAATATCTATATCATAAGAGAGCTATGAGCACTGGATGACTCAATACATATAAAAATCACTTGGTTAATAAGAAATTTTAGTCAATTTAAAAATTTCTTCAATGTGTCACTGATATTACTATCATTACAGCCATAACAATATAAGACATAGATTGATGTTTATTTATAATTAATTACATTTTCGGTATGTTGTTAGTGAGTATGTTAGTTTCCTAGGATTGCCACAACAAATTACCACAAAATCTGTGGCTTTAAAGAGCAGAAATTTATTCTCTTACAGTTCTGGAGACCAGAAGCCTGATACCAAGGTTTTGACAGAGTCACACTCCCTATGAAGGCTTGGGAGGAGAATTTTTTTCTTGCCTCTACCAGCTTTTGGTGACTCATAGCTTTCCCTGGCTTATGGCAGATTAACTCCAATCTCTGCCTCCTTCTTCACATGACTTTCTTTCCTGTGTATTTCAAATCTCCCTGTCCTCTCTGTTATAAGGACACCAGTCATTAGATTTAGAGCCCACACTAAATCTGGAATCATCTCATCTTGAGATCCTAAATCATATGTGCAATGACTCTCTTTCCAAATAATAGCACATTCACAGGTACTAAGGGCTAAGGCTTGGACATATATTGTTGGAGAATATTATCCAACCCACTATATTGACATAGGCAGGTTAAAAAATTAAAATGAGATCTTATCTTTTCCATATAAATATATAAATACATCCATATATGCATAAGTATATAAATTCCTGCATGAGAAAACTTCTAAGAAAATAATGCGGATGAAAACATTAGCAGGTCTTATCTTTAGGTGTTACATTTGAGGAACGGTTATCTTATGTTCTATATTTTTACATTTTACCTGTAGTAAACACCTAGTGGTCCTGTAAATATACAAAAGAATAAAATCACTGGGAAACATAACCATTCTCTGCTCCACCTACAGCAAAGCCCCTCACTTCAGAATAGGAACGTCTTTGAGAAACAGGAAAGGACACAAGATGCTGGTCAGCCCCTTCCACAGTATTCCAGACATATTTTCCCAAATGCCAAATCACATTCATTTTTTCAATATTTTAAATCTGTACTTAGTCAAATTAGGTAAAACATAGTATATTAATTTCATTGATTTGGCTTTGTTCTGATAAATAATAAAGTTGGTCTTCTCACATGACAGGTAGTGGCATATACTGATTAGATGTAGAGGCTTAGGAGCCACACAGCCTGTGTTCAAATTGAAGCCTCAGCACTTGCTAGCCCTGCCCTCACTATGCCTCGGTTCCCTCATATTTGTTTTTGTTTTTGTTTTGTTTTGTTTTTTGAGATGAAGTTTCACTCTTGTTGCCAAGGCTGGAGTGCAGTGGCGCAATCTTGGCTCACTGCAACCTCCTCCTGGGTTTCGGCAATCCCAAGTAGCTGGGATTACAGGCGCCTGCCACCATGCCCAGATAATTTTAATAATTTTGGTAGAAACGGGGTTTCACCATGTTGGCCAGGCTGGTCTCGAACTCCTGACCTCAGGTGATCCACCCCCCTCAGCCCTCCCAAAGTGCTGGGATTACAGGCGTGAGCTATTGCGCCCAGCTAGTTCCTTTAGATTTCAAGTCAGACAACAACAGTGCCTCATCATGTAATGTGGTGAGGATTAAATGATTAAGTATATGTTTAGCACTTGCAACAGTGTCAGGGATTGAGGAAATCACAATAAACATTAGCTATTATTACTACTAATATACCTGAATAGACTATTACTGTTTCTATGGCCATTTTTGTTATTATGTGGATTTATATTGATTAATACAGATTGATATTCAAAATATGATGTTTTTCATAAAAAGGCAGTTTATAAAGCTGTAAGTAGGATATTATCTAATTTTTGTTTTAAGTATAGTTACATTTGCATAGTATAACTTCTGGAAAAATGTTTATTTCTCTTAGTTCATTTTCTGATGCTATAACAGAATACCAGAGACTGGATAATTTATAAAGAAAAGAAATTTATTTCTCACTGTTCTGAAGGCTGGCAAGTCCAACAACATAGTGCTGTCATCTGGCAAGGGTCATCCCATGATGGAAGTGTACAAAGCAGAAGTGAGTGCAGAAGACAAAGAAAATCAGGCTGAAGTCATTCTTTTATTAGAAGCTTACTATTACAATAATGGCATTAATTAATTCATGAGGGCAGACTTCTCAGAACCTAATCACCTCTTAAAGGCTCCACCTCTCAACACTGTTATAATGTCAAGTAAATTTTAATATGAGTTTTAGAAAAGAAATTCAAACCATAGCAATATTCAAAAGCTAACAGTGCTTATCCATGAGTAATAGAATTTTTAGGGTTTCTAATGATATTTTTCCTTTTGTGCATTTTCCAACAAAAGCCTGTTGGTTTTGGAAGTGAGAAAAATAATAATAAAAAAAAATCTCCAGTCTTTCCCATAGAAAAATGGCTTAGCATCAGAATGGGGAACATCCCTAAGCCAAAGGAACTAGGTAATATGGTTGTCAGAAAGGTAATGTATTACGCTATCCACATGATAACTTCAGGAAAAGCTGAGTAGCATCAGGGAAATCACAGCCCCAACTAAGTGGCTTCAGCAAAATTACAGATGCCCAGGGGAAGAATAAACATGTTTCTCAAATGAACCTTACAATCTGCTGTCGGACAATGTCTCTTCTTCCTAGGATTTTAGTGATGATCACGAAATCAAAGTAGCTTAATAGCATGCTTGACATAGTTTGGATATTTGTCTCCTGCAAATCTCAAGTTTAAATGTGATCTCTAATACTGAAGGTGAGGCTTGGGGATAGGTGTTTAGGTCTGGGGGCAGATCCCTCATGAATGGCTTGGTGCTATCCTTGTGGTAATGAGTGAGTTTTGGCTCCCTTAGTTACCATGGGATCTGATTGTTAAAAAGAGCCTGGCACCTCCTATTTTCTCTATCGTTTCCTCTCTTGCCATGTGACATGCCACCTCCTCTTGCCTTCTACCATTTGTAAATCTTCCAGAAACAGATG